ACGCGTTGTGTGTGTGTGTGTGTGAGGGGAACAGGGTCACATCACAGGAGAGTGAACTGTCTGTCAGAAATCATAGCACGTCAGCTGTCTTAACCGCGGCTTGTGTACTGCATCATCATTGTGTCTGTCACGTGACTCTGTTGCTCTTTCAGGCTTGAACTGATGATAAAACTAATGACATTATTAACTGTCTTGATATTTACTTTGAAAGCTGAAGCTCGTGATTATGGTAAGGGGAGTTACATTTCCGACGCGTGCTTGCGGTGTTCGGCCAATCACAATGCACTGGGTCAGCTGGCCAATCAGAGCAGACTGTGCTTGTCAAAGGAGGGGGCTTTGTTGAAAACGACGTGTTTTAGAGAGGGCGGGACATAGAGGACCTACAATAATGTACAGTATTTGAAAAATAATGTGTTTTTTGAACATTAAAGCATGTCAACATATTCTGTTACACCAAATACACAAAATAATAATCTTTAAAATAGCATCATATGACCCCTTTAATTAATTGCCAAGAAAATAATGTAATAATACTGTAATAGTCCTAAGATTGGCTTCATTTATTGCTAAATATATCAATACCTTTAAGCAAAATATATCTAATTTCCAGGGCTGATCAAATACACACTAAATTTCTGAGTCCCACACAAAGCTCATTGTTCTTTACACATGTTGGGTGTTGTAGCATTACAAGGATCCACACGTGTGCAGTGCCTCGCTGGCTGATTGTATCGATCGTTGCTCCGTTATTCACTGCACGCTCATGCGCGTGTGACACTGTGCTCTTGTGCTTCTATACTGGACTTTCAGCTTTCAGCCAGTACAGTCAGATAAGCCTGAAAAGAGCCCAGCGTCATCACTGAATCACCTGTAGCTTAACTTCCAGCTATATATATATATTGAAGTAGTAAATAAAACAAAAACAAGAAAATACTGTTTCTCTACTTTTTTCACATTTAATTCAGTGTGTTACTTGCAGTTTTATTTGTACTTGTTAAATTTACTAGCAGTTTCTGAATGAAAATAGTTTGTACACCAATTTTTTATTTATATAATTAAATGTAATTTTATTATATATATATATATATATATATATGTGTGTATACAGTTGTGCTCAAAATTATTATTTACCCTTGGTAAATATGATCAAAGAAGGTTGTGAAAATTAATCTGTATCATCAATCCTTTAGATATTTTATTTAAAAAATTTACTAAAATCTAACTTTTCGTTGGAGAATAACAATTTAAAATGGGAGAGAAATCTCATTATGAAATAAATGTTTTTCTCTAATACACATTGGCCACAATTAATCATTCCCTCTTATCCAATACTTTTTGCAACCTCCTTTTGCCAAGAGAACAGCTCTGAGTCTTCACCTCTAATGCCTGAAGAGTTTAGAGAACATCTGACAAGACATCAGAGACCATTCCTTCATCCAGAATCTCTCCAGACCCTTCAGATTTCCAGCTCCATGATGGTGCTTCTCCTCTTCAGTTCAAAACACTCATTTTCTATAGGCTTCTGCTCAAGGAACTGGGTTGGCCATAGCAGAAGCTTGGTTTTGTTCTTAGTGACCCATTTTTGTTTTGATTTTGATGTTTGTTTGTGGATCATTGTCCTGATGGAAGATCCAACCATGGCCCATTATAAGATTTCTAGCATTGACAGTCAGTTTTAAATTTTTTATCCATTGGTAATTTATAGAATCCATTATGCCATCTATCTGAACAAGATATCCAGGATCTCCAGCGGAAAAATAGGCCCACAACATTAAAGATCCAGCCGTATATTTCATTGTACACATGGGGTACTTTTTATCATCTGACCATTGAACTCAGTCCCGTTTAAAGTTCCAGTCGTGTCTAGCAAATAAATATGCTCGAGTTTGTTTTTGGATGCGAGCGTTTTCTTTTCTAGGTTTTTCTTGAAACCCTCCCAAACAACATTGTTTTTTTTTTTTTTGGCTTTCTGACCCCAAGACTCAACTATTTCCTGCAGTTCTCCAGCTGTGATCCTTGGAGTCTTTGGCCACTCAAATTCTCCTCCTCACTGTGCATTAGGACCATATAGACACACGTCCTCTTACTGTATTAGAGAAAAATACTTATTTCATAATGTAATTTTCCCCCACTTTCACTTTTTTTTTTATTACTGTAATTAAAGGTTAGATTTATTTTTTATTTTTGAATGAAAGATCAAGTGGATAAACAATGCGGATTTATTTTCACAGCCTTCTTTGTTCATATTTACCAAGGGTATGAATAATTTTGAGCACAACTGTATATATATCTGTCTGTGGTTTGACCATTTTCAACTTTTTGAAAGGCTCAAAATAGCTCAAAATTCCCTTTATAACTGGCCAGGTAGATAAATCAGTCTATCTCTAAATGAGACAGTTTGTAATAATTTAATTTGCCAGTTCCATGCCAAATTTCTGACATATGGATTTCCTGTATGCTTGCCATATTCAGAGTCTGACAGTTGCGTCTGTTGCAAAACAGCAGACATATTGCATTGCATGCACTCAAACTGTTGTTGTCTCTATGCTAGTGAGTTTTAAGTTTGCATTCATTTGCATTAACTGTTGTAAATCTAGCAGCCCTTAACAGTGGTATGAACATCAAAACATACAATAAGAAAGACTTTAATGCTTAGTTTGTGGAATATGTTGCTCTTTGTTTTCTTGTATCTTTTTCAAAATAGTACAAAATTATTCTTACATATGACATCAAATAAACAAGAGTTAGATCTGAAGAAATCATATCATATTACATATCAAACAAATGCTATGCTTGTCTCCTCCGTGTGGATGGATATTCACTGAACTGAATGGCCTTAATTATGCTGATTGTACAGTACTGCACATAGTACAATGTTCAATATGAGAGACATATTAAAAGTGATGCATCAAAACAACAGGCGCACAAGTGCATTACTTCAGTGTGTTGCAGGTAGAAAGACGCACTGTTGTGAAAGCATGAGGAGAAACAGCAGTGCACGTGCAGTGCATTCAGTTAGACAAAAGTGTTTTAAAAGTGACAGGATGCATGAGTGTCTATAGGAATAATACAGATAGAAGATCTTATTAAAAATTACCTCCAGTCCGTGGACTCGGTGCGGTGCGGTGCTGCGTGCGGTGCTGAAGAGCTGCGCTCGTGGTCTTTATACGGACTGAATTCAGATGCACATGAATGAAATATCAATCCACGTCTGGACAGCGAACAAAGCGGCATTTGAACTGCGATCCGAAAGGCCACCGCTCCGTCCTGCCATCCTCACAGCAGAGATGCTGGAATATTCCTCTGTCACAACCCGCACAAAAATACCAAATCAATATCAGCCGAGCCTGAAGCTCGTACCAATACGAGTCTAACCAACCAAAATCACGTTTGGTGCCCCTGTAAAATAGATTAAGAAGCTTTCTCCTAATCCCTGCTTCCCTAAGAGCTCAGCTGAGTCGACTACATATGTCTCTCTCTCTCTCTCTCTCTCTATTGTTCACTGATTCGTAACGTAAGACTCGCATCTTCCTTGAATCGTTCATTCAGTGTGTTTCCTTTCAAGTCAGGTTAGTACGGCGTAAACATGTAAATGTAATTGAAATATAAAAAAAGAATAAAATACTGTTCTTGATTATAACTGCAGATTATATATATATATATATATATATATATATATATATATATATATATATATATATATATATATA